GGGAGTCAAGGACCCACTTGAGGAGGCAGTCTGTCCCTTAGAAGAGCTGGTGTGCTATGCTCAGAGGATCCCCCTTGTCAGGTTGACCTGCTCTCTTCAGAGCTGGCAGGCAGGAAAGATTACGTTTGCTGAAGCTGTGCCCACAGCTGCCCCTCCTCCCAGGTGCTATTCCCAGGGAGATGAGAGTTTTATATGTAAGCCCCTGACTGGAGCTGCTCAATTTCCTTCAGAGATGGCCTTCCCAGTGAGGAGAAATCTAGACATGAGTCTGGCCATAGCCACTTTGCCACGCTGTGGTGAATTCCACCCAGTCCAAACCTCCCTGTCTCCTTAGCACCTTGAGGGAAAAATCACCTACTAAACCCTCGGTAATGGCAGATGTCCCTCCCCCCACCAAGCTTGGTTGGTCGATACCAGACTGCTGTGCTGACAGTGAGAATTTCAAGCCAGTGGTCCTTAGCTTGTTGGGCTCCGTGGGAGTGGGACCTGCTGAAAAAGAACACTTGGCTCTGTGGCCACAGCCCCTTTCCAGGGGAGTGAACAGCTCTGTCTCACTGGGGTTCCAGGCACCACTGGGTATGAAAACACTCCTGCAGCTACTTGGTGCCTGCCCAACTAGCTGCCCAGTTCTGTGCTTGAAACCCAGGTCCCTGGTGGTGTAGGCTCACTAGGGAATTTCCTGGTCTGAGGATTGCAGCAATCCATGGGAAAAGCACGGTACCCTGGGTGGGTGGCATAGTCCCTCACCACATGCCTTGGCTGGGGGAGGGAGGTCCCCTGTTCCGTGCACTTCCCGGGTGAAGTGACACCCCACCCTGCTTCTGCTGGCCCTCCATGGGCTGCCTCCACTGCCTAACCAGTCCCAGTGAGATGAACTGGGTACCTCAGTTGGAAATGCAGAAATCAGCCACCTTTGGTGTTGGTCTCACTGGGAGCTGCACACTGGACCTGCTTCTATTCAACCATCTTGGTTCCTCCCCTCTTTTATCTTAATGGTACTTTCTTTCCCCGCTCTCAGCCACATTCAATGTTAAAATCAGACTTCAAACTGGTTTGTGTAAATTAATAACTGTTGTTTTAAATAAAAAAGATTGTTGGCTTATATTTGCTTTCACAAATTCAAGAGCTGTATTTTTACATAAAAATTCCACCAAATATGAGTTATGTTCATTTCCCTTATGGATGCAGAGCAGAGATAAAATCCTTTTTGCCTTTTTTTCTTTAGTTCTGGTAACATGTGAGTTTCAGTTCTAATTTTTCTACTAACCACTTATAGACACAACTAAATGTTTTCAAATGGATTTTAAAAAATAAATGACACTTTTAGACTATAAACTTCAACAGAGCTTTCACAATTGATTATTAATTATAAATATTACAGTCAAAAAATATTCTGAGATTTCCAAATTAGCCTATGAGAACAAAGCTCTTCACAAGTAATATAAAGAAGAAAGGTCTTCTCATTCATTAAATATGTGCATATATATATATATATATATCCTTTAAAAATATATACCTATGTGTGTGCATTTGTGTACATGTGTTTGCATACACACAAATTCAGGTCCAATAATTCAACATTGATTTAAGACCTAGCTCTTATTTTGCTTGCATCAGACTGTTATATGCCAACTAGAAAATGTGTAGGGAGTACTAAAAATGAAACCATTGCAAAATTTATGACAGTAAGAGAAATATGACATAGAAAAATCATGACAGTGAAAGAAATCTAACCTATTTGACTCCATCTTGTTTCTAACCTCCAAGCTTTCCTTTTAAATTCTTGGGCATAGGCCAAGCTAATTGTAGGAGAAATTTAGCTTTACTTTAAAACAAAGACAACAACAGATTCTTCTGGAAACTAACCTCATCCTTATTCAGGGACCAAAGACCTCCTTCAGAAAACTAACAAATTTGGCACAAGTTTAGGACTATGGCTGAGGAGTCGTGCAGTCAAAAGCCACAAGATTTGTAACCTCCTCAATTGCTCCTGTAGAAAACATCACTACTGTAAAACCTAAGATTGGTGTTCAAGGTATTTTTCAGACCCTGCATATGTTTGGGCCAGCTGGTGACCAGCTGGACCACTAAACTGGCTCAACTGGTTTGGTGATCCCATAAACTAAAGACAGCAAGAGACAGCTTTAACCCCTGTGATTTCATTTTAGACCCGATCAATCAGCATTTCCCATTCTCTAGACCCTTCCCACCAAGTTATCCTTAAAAACTAGTCTCCAAATTTCCAGAGAGATTGATTTCAGTAATAAATCCTAGTCTTCTGCTTAGGTGGCTCTGTGCTTATTAAACTATTTCTCTATTGGAAATCAGCTGTCTTGGCAAATTGGTTCTATCTTTGCAGCTGGCAAGAAGAACCTGTCAGGCAATTACAGAAGCAGAAGATCAACATTTGGTAACCATCATAATAAGGGTTAGTTCAGGCATAAATCACAAAGACATTAAACCCAGAACAATATTTTGATGAAAAATAGGGTATTTGCATGGTCTTAAACTGTTTCTTCCTGGATCACTTAGGAATGGAAAAATACAATAATTGTATAGTGGAGAAACTGGATGACATCTTGACAGAGGGATCAAAAGTAACGTTGCCAGTGAGGACCATGAGGATGTCATGTGTCCCCAGATGTGATATGGTCAGGAATTCATAAATTAAATCTAATTATAAGAAAACACTGGAAACTGCTCCCCACCCCCGAACCAAAGTAATCTATTTTAAAAAGCCAAAGTCATAAAAGACAAAGAATCTTGTGAAAGTCTTCTGGAGTGTTCTAGATTAAATGAAAATAAAGAGATATAAAAACTAAACATATAATTTTTAGACTAAATCCTGTAATAAAGAGAAAAGTACCATTTAAAAGATTGATAGGGCATTTGGCCAGGCATGGTGGCTCATGTCTGTATTCCCAGAACTTTGGGATGCTGAGGTGGACAGATCATTTGAGGTTAGGAATTTCAGACAAGCCTGGGCAACATGGTGAAACCCCATCTCTACTGAAAATACAGAATCAAAATTAGCCTGGTGCAGTGGTGCATGCCTGTAATCCCAGCTACTTGGGAGGCTGAGGCATGAGAATCCCTTGGACCTAAGAAGCAGAGGTTGCAGTGATCCAAGATTGCAACACTGCACTCTTGCCTAGGCAGTAGAGTGAGACTCTGTCTCAAATACAACAACAAACAAACAAAAAAAGATTGATAGGTCACTTGACAGAATTAGAACACTGATGGCAGATTGGACTGAACGATTTAATCTCATTTCCTGAAGTTGGTAACTGTGATGTAGTCCTGTTGGAGAATATCCCAATTCTTATGAAATATGCATGGGCATATTTACAGAGAAAGAACAGACAAATGGAAAATGGAAATGGATAAAAATGTTAAAAATACATGAATCTTGAGTTCCTCATGAAAAGAGCTTGGAAGTCACAACTTTATTCCAAGTATCAATTTGAAAAAAAAAGTGAAAAATCAACAACTATGCCTAGAGCCATAAGAAAAATTAGGTCAAACCACTGACCCCAAATTGGAAACAGACAGGCATATACAAAGAATCACAACATACTAGAGCAAAAATCTCTGCAGGAACCAGTGCCAGGGTGAGGGAATGTGAACTTTAATTGATAAACTGTGGAATGATAGGTGTGAACAAGTCTGAGAGTTAAAAATTCCATATGGTTCCAGTTATGGGGAGCCCCCATGCTTTTGTATTTTTATCTCCTGAGGTTGACCAGGTTCACATAGTAAATATTGGAGAGAAATCCCCCAATGCTTCCAGTAAGGGGAGAAGAAGAGAAACCATTTTGAAGTATGCCATGGCACTGTGTTCTCCCTCACAAGGTCTACCCTGAAGGGGAATTAAATAGAGCCTAACTTTAATAGACGGGGTTTTAATAAAGCCTAACTAACCTGGGACAGAGAAAATGCTCCACTACAGCCACCTTTGGGCTTCCACATCAGATCAGGGAGACACCCAACCACAGCCGATCTAACCATCCTGCCCCCACTTGAGTGTGGGAAATCAGAAACATCTGCGAAGATCACAGTCCAAAGTCACAGGTTCACCAGAAGACTGAGACCTAATTACAGGACTGTAGAACATTTATATTCTTCCAGCATCTCACCAATACATTACAAAGGTCCTAACTACAGCAGCTCCTTTTACCCAATACATGTCTGGCTATCAAAAAAATAATAATTACAAAGCATACTAAAATGCAAAAGCAAAAAACACATACAGTTTGAAGAGAAAGCAAGCATGAAAACCAGGCATGATAGAACTGACGGCATTATCAAACAGGGAATCTAAAATAATTATTATTAATCTGCTTAAAGCACTAACAAAGCAGACTATAAAAAACAGGTGAGCAATGTAAACTAAGAAATGAAAATCCTAAGGAAAGGAAAAAAAGAAGTGCTAGAGATTTAAAAAAAAAACTCTGTAAGTTACAAGAACTACTAAAAGAGCCTGGTTGACGGTTGACGGTGGCTCATGTCCATAATCCTAGCACTTTGGAAGTCTGAGGGCAGTAGGCTCACTGGAGCCCAGTAATTTGAGACCAGCCTGGGCCAAAAAAGTGAGACACCTGTCTCTACAAAAAATGAAAATAAAAATTAGCCAGGCATAGTGTCAAGTGCCTGTAGTCCCAGCTACTTAGAAGGCTGAGGTGGGATGACTGCTTGAGCCCAAGAGGTTGAGGGTCCAGTGAGTTGTGATTATGCCACAGCCTTCCAACCTGAATGGCAAAGCAAGATTCTATTTTCAACAGAAAATAAATGTTAAAAGAAATTATTTAGGGAAAGATGAATAATTTAGGTCAGAAACTGAAATTTATATCAAGAAAGGAGGAGCACTGATTACATAATGAATTGACAATCAGTGAAAGCAAATTAAAATTCTTTATTTTCGTTATTTTTAATTGGCCTAACAGATTACAATTTGTTCAAAATATGGCCATGATGTATTTTATTATATATGCTTATGTATCTGTGTGTGTGTATATATATATATATACACATGCTTATGTATACATATATAAGTGAAATGAGTAACAGCAATGATACAAGATATGGGAGGGAGGACTTAGGATTTTATTATAAGATGTTCATACTATTATAAAGTGGTAAGTGCTGTTTCAAAATCAGCTTATATTATTTGTAAATATGTATTATAAACAAAGGAGGGAAAGTTGAATCCTATAAAATTCTCAATCAAATCCACAAAGACAGAAAATGAGTGAAATACAAAAAAAAAAGAAATAAGGAACAAGAGAGACAGGCAGAGTGGCTCACACCCCTAATCCCAGCACTTTGGGAGGCTGAGTCAAGTGGATAGCTTGAGCCCAGGAGTTTGAGACCAGCCTGGGCTACACAACAAAACCCTGTCTCTACAAAAAAATACAAAAATTGGCCAGGCATGGTGGCATATGCCTATAGTCCCAACTACTTGAGAGGCTGAGGTGGGAGGATCAGTTGAGCCCAGGAAGTTGAGGCTGATGTGAGCTGTGACTGTACCACTGCACTCCAGTCTGCACAACAGAGAAAAACTCTGTCTCAAACAAAAAGAAGAAGAAGATGAAAGAAGAAAGAAGAAGAAGAGGAGGAGGAGGAGGAGGAGGAAGAAGGGCAACAAATAGAAAGTACTACAAATACAGTAGACATGAATCCAACTATACCTGTTATTACCTTGAACCATCAATGGTCTAAATGTACCAATTAAAAGACTACCAGAGTGGATCCAAAAACAAGACCCAAGTATATGTTGGCTACAAGAAACTCACGTTAAATATGAAGACATATAGATTAAAAGTAAATAGGTGGAGAAAGATACACCATACTAGCACTAATCAAAAGAAAGCAGGAGAAACTCTGTGAACTTTAGACAGAGCAAACTTCAGAACAAGGAAAGTTATCAGGAGTAAAGAAGAATATTACATGATGATAAATGGGTCGATTCTCCAAAGAGATGTAACAATCCTTAATATGCAGGAGCCTAACAACAGAGATTAAATATGTGAGGCAAAAGCTGACAGAAAGGCAAGGAGAAATACATGAATCCACTATTATAGTTGGAGACTTCAAAAATAGATGAATATGGGTAAAATATATTTCTATAAAGCACCATATATTGGGGCCTGCACATACACACACACACATATATATATACACAAATTTATGTGTATTTTTATTTTTCCTAAATATAGTATCTACATTGTACAGACTGTAGTCATTAGCCAGATGTCTGTTTTGACTTACGTTGGACAAAGCTCACTTTGGGGAACCGTGAGGCATTCTAGCGGATAATGCATCCTAAGGGCATGAAAACTTTAGAGTCACAGCAAGGTTAAGCAAGTGAAAATGTGTAGAGATTCTGAGTACAGCATGCTGTGATACAGAGGTCTAACGGGATGAGCAGGTCCTATTTATAGAAACCTAAGGCAGCTGTTCTCTGAAAATTCTCTGTGACACTGGCATCCTAGATGCCTTAAAGGAGTGCCAACAGAATGTAAGAGAAATGCAGGTCCTTTCCCACCCTCCAACACCCTGCAGCTTCAAAGAGTCATAGCTGAATCAGGATATAGAGGTGTCTGGTGCACAACAGACATCAGAAAGGAAAGAAAGAAAAGAAACATGGCAGCCAGTTAACACAGTTGGTCATACTTGTTTGAAACACTCACCAACACGCTGAAAACTATGAGCCAGAGTAAAGGAGTCCAGTAGCGACCACGATTACAGCCCCATTTAATACCCACGGGCAGGTGACCTCCAGGGAAGCTTAGAGGATGTAAAGTCTACACCTCTACATTTTCCTATGAAAACAGCAACTGGTGCCCCAATCAACAGGCAGGCCAAAAAATGCCAAATAAAATAAAGGCAGATTTTCTTAATTGTTTTTTTTACATTTATAAACACAAAGGCCTCAAGCAGAACAGAAAATCAATGTAAAACGAGAAGGTGAATACAAGTCTCCTGCTTTTGCAATCAAGTATTCTGCCTGGAGAACACTGCTTTAGGGAACATAAATAAAAAACAGTGAAAGCTATTCATCAAACAGACACCATCCCTCTACTCCTCCTTTCCCAAGCACTACACTGAACTGAACGGGAAACTGCTTTCAATGATCACACCGGTACCCACTGAAAAGAAAGAAGAAGAACTCCTAAGCTTTCGTATCACCTACTGCGGGGAAGCTTCTAGAAAGCTACTTCCTAAGACTAACATTATTCCGGGAATGAAAGGAGGCAAGACTGGAAAGAGGGAGATGGAGTCAGGGTAGGTAGTTAAAAAATACTGAAAAGAGTACTTCATTTTACAAGAAGAAAGAAAAAATAAGGCCGGGTGTGATGGCTCACGCCTGTAATCCCAGCACTTTGGGAGCACAACGTGGGCGATCACCTGAGGTCAGGAATTCAAGATTACCCTGACCAACATGGTGAAACCCTGTCTGTACTAAAAATGCAAAAAAAAAAAAAAAAAATAGACAGGCATGGTGGCAGGTGCCTGTAATCCCAGCTACTTGGGAGGCTGAGAATTGCTTGAACCCAGGACTGTGCCATTGCACCCCAGCTTGGGCAACAAGAACAAAACTCCGTCTCAAACAAAAAGAAGAAGAGAGAAGAAGAAGAGAGAAATAGAAAATAAAAATATAAAGAAAATAGTTTACCATGCCCCTGCTTTCTTTAAATTTTATTATAATTAGACTGCCCGCTGCAAACAAACAAAAAGAGAAAGAAAAAAAACTTTAAAGTTTGGGCAAGACAGTACTTCCTAGTTTGCTGGAAGTAATTTTTAAACATCTTGTTTAAAAAGTAATGAATTAGTGAGGCAAGAATGTGGGCTTCTTTCTGCTCCCTATGACTCTGCCTGCGTCACTGGATTTGTAAGAGACCGAAGAGTCACTCCTGAAGTTTCTCCAATGATGAAATAACCACACATACCCATATTTAGAAATCAGATGTTATTTCTTTGTGAGTTTAATTTATAAAACTGGTAATTCGACACACATTTACTACGAAGGCTTGACTTATAAAAAGCATTGCTTTTCCTTAGAAGTTAGGGGTTAAACATATCTACAAGGAAATCTGAAAAATTATTTTACTAAAATTTTATATATCCATCTTGTAACTTACCATTTGGCAGTGAAGATACTTTAACGCAGATAAGCTTAAATAACCTTGCTATGTACCCTGATGCTGGGTTCACCTAGCAACTGTCTACCATCGTCATCCAGTGGTCATCTGGCACTGGAGTTACTGACCATTGCTGATGAAAAGCAGACAAGAAGGTCAGCCCACTGAACCTGCATGGATCCTGCCTTCACCTGGGCCCTAACCCACCCTCAGTTCTATCATATAGACAGCACATGCCACACCATCCCAGACCAACTTTCACAAAACTTTAACATTGGCTCCTTTTAAAAATGCCATCTAAGTCTCTTTTCTTGCAGAAAATAAGCCCATCTCTTTTGGGGGGAAAAATAAGGTCGGTAAGCAAGATCCTGCAAGGTTCTGGGGTTTCTCCTCCATCTCCACTCAGTTAAAAAGGGTTCATATTGGTATCTTCTTGGTTGATGTTACTCTTCAGCCCTGAGACTTGCTGGTAGCCATTTTCTGTTACACAAAATGGAAAACAGCAAATGTTAATTTACAACTAGAGAGAATGGAGCAGAGGTACATAGATGAGCAGGAATGAGAAGAAAAGTCTTCCCCTATTCCCTTTGACATTGCTGTGCCCAGTTTCCTTTTGCTCATAATTTCCAGCTCAATTCCAGGGTGTTCCAGAATCCGTCTCAAAATATTTCATCTTTTGTTACTTGGTTTTAGATGCATGACACAAAGTATCCTCACTACCATAGCCACTGTAAAATGTTCTACGTTTCGGAAATGTTATGTGTTGAATGAAGTCTTCATCCCCAGGACCTGTGAATGTGGTCTTATTTGGGAACAGGGTCTTTATGGATGCCATCAGGTTATGAGGAGGTCGGACTGAATTAGGGTGAGCCCTGATTTAATGTCTGGGGTCTGAATAAGTTGAGGAAAATTAGGACACAGACATGTAGAAGAATGCCAGGTAAAAACATAGGAAGAGACTCCCAGAGGAAAGACAGCAGGATGGTGACAGAGGCAGAAATGGGAGCAATGCACCGAAAGCCAGGAGCGCCAAGGATTGCTGGACATTCCCAGAAGCTAGGAGAGTGGGAGCAGAAGTGACCTCACCTTGATGTCAATCTGCCACGGTGACTTCTGATCAACCCCAGTCCCATGAATGCCTCCTGATTACTACTTTACTTACTGTCCCTCCCGTAAGAACATGTCGACCTTGACATAATTGCACAAAGTATGGGCTGTGATGTACACGGCATTAATGAACATATGTGTGCATGTGTCTTTATAGTAGAAAGATTTATAGTTCTTTGGGTATATACCCAGTAATGGGATTGCTGGGTCAAACGGCATTTCTATTTCTAGATCCTTGAGAAATCGCCACACTGTCTTCAATGATAGACTGGACAAAGAAAATGTGGCACATATACACCATGCAATACCACACAGCCATAAAAAGCGATGCGTTCATGTACTTTGTAGGGACTTGGATGAATCTGGAAACTATCATTCTCAGCAAACTGACACGAGAACAGAAAGCCAAACACCGCATGTTCTCACTCATAGGTGGGTGTTGAACAATGAGAACACGCAGACTCGGAGAGAAGCATCACACACTGGGGGCAGTTGGGAGGTACGGGAGAGACAGCAGGGGTGGGGGGGTGGGGGGGGGTGGGGAGGGATAACATGGGGAGAAATGCCAGATGCAGTATGCGCCTAAAGTAAAATAAAAATAAATAATAAATAATAACAGAGAAATAGAAAAAAAACCAAGTATGTTAAGCAAGAAGACATAAAGTAAAATGCTGTCACTGTCACATACGACATTCTGTGGAACCTCAAGGCAGTATTCAGCAGTAACAATATCACAGCCACCACTGCCTAAGAGATCAGGTTGAAAACAAACCAAGCCTCGCTGAATTTTAAGGTTTTTTGTCCCCTTTTCTGATGAATTTTGGATTTTATTCCATTATTGAAGTTTTGCTTTTCCATGAGAACAGCAGGCACATTCATATTGTGAGGGACACGAGTACAAAGGAAGTAGAGGACAACCAGTGCCTGTGTTGTGTGCAGTTTCCGTATCAAACATGACGCTACGCACTTGTATGCCCTTGAGTCTAATGAATGCAGTGCATATTATTATTCCCACTTTATTATTTATTTATTTTTGAGACTGAGTCTCACTTTATTGCCCAGGCAATAAAGGTGCAACGATCTCAGCTCACTGCAAACGCTGCCTCCAGGTTTCAAGGGATTCCTCTGCCTCAGCCTCCTGAGTAGCTGGAATTACAGGCAACTGCCTCCACACGTGGCTAATTTTTGTGTTTCTAGTAGAGATGAAGTTTCACCATGTTGGCAGGATGGTCTCGAACTTCTGACCTCAAGTAATCCTCCCACCTCAGCCTCTCAAGGTGTTGGCATTACAGGCATGAGTCACTGCGCCTGGCTATTCCCACTTTAAAAAGACCCTGGGTCTCGTCGACGGTATGTGATTGACCCTAAGTCGCATAGTAAGTGGTAGACATGAGGAAATGTCTGCCTGAAGCCACAACCAATACCCATTCCATTCTACCGAGCTGACTTGTCCCTTGCAGTCAAGGCTGGAACTGAGTACACAGGCTTCCTGCTCAAGAGCAAAGTGGAAGAAATGAATGTAGCTTTAAAAAGAAAAGTCATAACAGCACAGAGAAACTAGAAGGGGTGTTAGTAATAGACTAGATTCCCGAAGAGTTATTGGAAAATATCAGATGAGATGAGACTGATTTTTAAAGAAACAAGGCGGCCATAGCCCAAGACAGCACAGAAAAATGCGAGATTTCCCCCACTCTGGAGTAAATCCATAAAAGGTAAAATACAGGGCTATGACATAGGGTGCCAGGGGATGATTTACTAAAGAGATTTTTTGAGACAGCTGTCTCCCTTCTTTGTATGTAAACAGAACTCTGGTAGGCATTACTTCTCTGCTCTCTGAGGGAAGGAGGCTGCTTGTCCAAGGCCTCTACTGAAGACAATGGGACGCAAGGAAGAAGCAGAGCCTGACAACACTGGTTCTCCCCAGCGGAAAAAAGAAGGGTGCAAGCTCCACCGCAGACCACAGCACTCCTTACTTTGCAAAGCGGAAGTCCCCACACTGGTGCACGTTCCTACTGCTGGCTGAAGGACCGACACCCCGACTGCTGCGAGAGTCAAGCAGGAGCCGGCTGCAATTGCCCAGATTTTTGGCGGATTACCTCAGGCTGAAGAAAGCCATTTGCTGAAGTCCAGCCCCCTTTCTGCGGCATCTGTCTCCCCATGACGAGCATATGCCAGGGTATAAAGATTCTTCCTGTGTGGCCACCTTGGGCAACTGTGATGGGGCTGTCCGGTGTCAGATATGCCTTGGGGGCTGGCTGAGGCTTCATGTGGATTGCATCAGCGTTTCAACTTCTTTCTCTACCCCACCATATTTTATTCCCTTCTCCCACAAAAGGTGATTGCTGCTGAGTATGCCCAGGATGCAGGGCCCGCTACGCTTAGTACCCCAGACATCTAAAGATGAAACCCCCACACTGGCTGTGGCAGGGCAAGGCGGTACCTTGGGTTTGAAATTTCCTGTGTGGGGGCACTAGTGTCCATTAGGTCAAATCTGAATTTATTTAACGGAAAATGTAAATTGTTTTTACATGACGAATACAGCTACTCAGAAACCCCATATGTTGCAGAGTTCAAGGAATTTCCTTACTGACAAATTATTCAGGGAAAAGCTATCATTACATGTATACCATATTTTTAATATGTGTTTAAAGTTTTATTTTTTATTTTTATTTTTATTTTTGAGATAGAGTTTCGCTCTTGTTACCCAGGCTGGAGTGCAATGGCGCGATCTCAGCTCACCGCAACCTCCGCCTCCTGGGTTCAGGCAATTCTCCCGCCTCAGCCTCCTGAGTAGCTGGGATTACAGGCACGCGCCACCATGCCCAGCTAATTTTTTGTATTTTTAGTAGAGACGGGGTTTCACCATGTTGACCAGGTTGGTCTCGATGTCTTGACCTCGTGATCCACCTGCCTTGGCCTCCCAAAGTGCTGGGATTACAGGCTTGAGACACCGCACCCGGCCCCTAAAGTTTTATTTAAAATAGCATAACAAAAGGACATTTTTTGAAAATTCAAGGTGTTATATTTTAATTGTGGTTTCATTTAGAATTAATCAGGTCAAATTTCTGACCGGAAATGTGTATTTCCTTCTTTTCAGTGCACAGGAATGTAACGTACTTTTACTTGGCCAAATTCCCATCTTGGAATAAAAAGCACTAGCCGTAGAATCTGGCCGCTATGGGAAGGTAGGTTGCTGCCGTCTCGTTTTAGCTTCCGTTTTCCCAGAGAAATTCCGAAAAGACGTGATGATATTATTGGTCAAATTATAATTGCTCATGTTCTGGCAGACATACGGTAGATCCAGCTTTGTTCTGTTCTTATGTGAAACGGAAGGTCACTGCCCGGCCGGGCGCGGTGCTCAGGCCTGTAATCCCAGCACTTTGGGAGGCCGAGGCGGGTGGATCACGAGGTCAAGAGATCGAGACCATCCTGGTCAACATGGTGAAACCCCGTCTCTACTAAAAATACAAAAAATTAGCTGGGCATGGTGGCGCGTGCCTGTAATCCCAGCTACTCGGGAGGCTGAGGCAGGAGAATTGCCTGAACCCAGGAGGCGGAGGTTGCGGTGAGCCGAGATCGCGCCATTGCACTCCAGCCTGGGTAACAAGAGCGAGACTCAGTCTCAAAAAAAAAAAAAAAAAAAAAAAAAGTCACTGACCGAAAAAAAAAAAGGCTAGTTTGGATAACGGCTTTTACTCACGGTGCTCCATGTTTCGGGCTGCGGAACTGGCTGGAATTTCAGCAGAGTCCAGGAACAGCATGCGGGCAAGGACTGCGCGTGCGGTGCGCTGAGCGGGTGGTTTGGAGCCGCTTCGCCCGGAGCTTCAAGCCAGGGCTGGCGCCGACCTGCAGAGACGCGGGCGTTCCGGCGCGCAGGCGCACTGGGGAGGGCGGCAAGGGCCGTCGTGGCGGCTGCGTCTTCGGCACGTACTGCCCAATTCCCTGACTGAAGCATGAGCGATACGCCAGATACAGCCAGGAGCAAACAGGCGTACGGGGCTGCCGCCTGCGCGGGTCCCTGCCGTCCTTCCTGCGTGGCACTGAACTCCACAGCGGGTCGCGCCGCCCACGTGGCGAGGCGAGAGAGTTGGTGTCTGGGCGACCGAGCCCCGCTAGGGCACCGCGCCCGCCCAGCGCCTGCAGCCCGGGGTCCCTGTCGCGGGTCCTGACGGGAGACCTGAGGCGGAAGCACGACTGCAGGGCCCCATCCCAAAGGAGGAGGAGGAGGAGGGGAGAGGAAGAGACCCTGGTGCTCAGCTTCCGGCCGGCAGCGGCAGCCTCCACCTCAGGAGGACAAACAGCCCTGGACGGCGGAAGGAAGTCTCGGCGGAAGGAAGTCTCGGCCGAAGGAAGTCTCCGCAGAAGGAAGTCTCACCGGAAGTCTGGGCCAGACCGTGCTGCCCCCGCTTCAGCCTGTTTGCGTCAGTTCTGCGTTGACGTTGACGGCGCTTGGTCGGTTCCTTATGAGACCCACTGAGTTGGTGTCTGTCCCCAGATCACCTGCACCCGCCTTCTCTCTCAAAATTTCTTCCACGAAGAATCTCAGACTTGTTGCGACCTGGCGTTTGTCACATGCCTGCTCTGTCTGCCGGCGTGCAAGGCAGCACGGGGATGCAAAAGAAGACTGACATGCTTCCCTCCTAGGGAGTCTAGGAATTCTGGAAAGATGAGATATACTCCTGTCACGTCGCATGTCGCAGAGGAAGCAGGTGCTGCGCGGTCCGATGACGTGGAGATCTGCGCCAGGGACGAAGGAGAAGATGGAACCGGGAAGACACCAGGAAGGAGGTATGGGGTCTGGATGTGAAAGAAATCGTCCACAATCCACTTAGGATGTGGGACTTTGGTAGCGGGGGGGCTCTGGGGACCCCGGGGTGCCCTGTATCCCACTCCTGTGGGATGGAAGGGAGAAGCTGCCCCTGCAAATCCGGTCACCATGCGTGATGGTCGCTGCCTTTAGTTATTTATTTATTTATTTTCTTTCTTTTTTTGAGATGGAGTTTCGCTCTTGTTACCCAGGCTGGAGTGCAATGGCTCGATCTCGGCTCACTGCAACCTCCACCTCCTGGGTTCAGGCAATTCTCCTGCCTCAGCCTCCCGAGTAGCTGGGATTACAGGCACGCACCACTGTGCCCAGCTAATTTTTTGTATTTTTAGTAGAGACGGGGTTTCACTATGTTGACCAGGATGGTCTCCATCTCTTGACCTTGTGATCCACCCGCCTCGGCCTCCCAAAGTGCTGGGATTACAGGCGTGAGCCACCACGCCCGGCCGGTCGCTGCCTTTAAAGCTCGACATATACGTATCTGGCCACTGAGAAGTCTGCTGATAACGAAAAACAATCGTTAATGAACAATATGGCACGGAATGGTCTGTCTCACAGGTGAGAAAGTGGAGACGGAGATTCTAATAACAGGCTTGTTGTACTGGAGCGAGCTTAGAAAGTCAGCACCGAGACAAAGGTATGCCAAATTGCAGGGTCTTCATTGCCGGCGACCACGGAGGACTCGCATGAAAGGAGGGTGTCAAGACCTTTTATGCCTGTAAACCACCTTGGGGGTGGGGGTGAGGGGCTTCAGACATTCCAAGGGCCAGTGGATTCTGTAAATCACCTCCTGGGCGGAGATGAGGGTGAGGGGCTCCGGACATTCCGAGGGTCAGGGGACTTCGGATATTCCGATTGTTACTGAAGTGGTTTACAGAAGTCAAGATAAGCCTTAGTTTACACATTGCCTGGGTATGGGTGGAAATTACAGACCTTAGTTACTTATTGCAAGTTGCAGGGGCCAAGATGGCGTGGGTTTGGACTGCTTGCCTGTCACATCAGGGTTATAGAGTTTTAGGGGGCTTTTACCATGTCACAGCTGATGCTGCTTACTTTTGTCCCAATTTTATGTACCAAGATTTTTGGTGAGGAATCAGGTACTTCCCTTAAATCCAGAATGCACTTTTTCCTGGCGCAGTAGAAACAGAAAGAAATCATTGGTTATGGATAACTGAATGTACACTTCATAATACAGGAAGACATTTATTTTAAAAAATAAATTTAAAAATAATGAAATAAATAAATTGTAAGCCCAGGCTTTCACAGAGGCAAGAAGTGTGTGAAAGCAAACATGACACTTCCCCCTGCTGTCCTTTGCAGCATGTCCTCATGTCCGCAGCTAGCACAAGGAAGCCTGCTGTGTCCCTGCAATAAGCAAACAACCAAGGAGCAGTCATTCTCCCTTGTTCTAGTTCGCAAGCTAAATGGAGCCTTGGGCCATCATTCCTATAAACTGCTGACTCCATAAGAAAATGACTTTATTCTTGATTTCCAGAGTATTGTCACTTTCAGTTGTGATCATCTTGTAAGAAAACTATTGCTTTGCTACCATGAATAAACCAGTAATAGCCTCAGTAAACTTGTTGATGTTGCTTCCTTTTTTCTTACCTGTTGAGTGGTTTCCACAAAGACGGATGAAATGATTGTCACTTTCTAGCCTTACAACAATAGCAAAACCCTAAATAAACAGGAAGTTAACAACTTTTCTAGAACCTACCAGAAAGCCCAACAGGACAACCAACTGGCCTGAAATCTAAGGAGGGACAGGAGCCTGCAGGGGGAGTTGAAATGCCAGCACTGTTTTACCGGGGCAGGATGTGATCAGTGTGAAGAGCTCGGCAAAGGTGATTGGTCTATTGATGGAGACTGAGTGCGACCGAGTAAAGCACTAAGGGCCATATATACAGGGAAGTCCATATCCTATTGCAGATTTTTTCTACCTGAATCCTTCTGTGCACTCGGAGGAAATTTTGAAAGTTTGTTTTGTAGCATAGAGTGGAGAAAGAAAACTGTAACCACTGTAGGAGAAGCAAGGAATTTCACCAGGATCCTTCCCCTGTGTCTCTTGTGAAACCAAAGTTTTTATCTATAGGCCTACTGCAACTGGAGGAAAAGTAATGCACTGAGAAGGCTACCCGACCCTGACACCCAGGGGTTCACAGCCAGCCTAGGACTAAGGCCTATTCAGAACAACAGAAATTACACCCATTCACACATGCTCATTGCTAATGAGCAAGCCTCTAGCAAGGCCCCTGGCAAAGCAGCCACAACCCTAAACCCACCATAGCTCCAGAGGAAGTTTAAACCTATAGTACCTAAAGGTGACCATAGCACAACAAACATAAGCCCAGCTCAACTCCTAATTAGATTAATAATTCAACTCTCCACACTAAAGACCTATAAGAAGAAAGGGCATGCCCATTTCTAAGCAGGAAAAGAAAAATCATCATTTTTACAGTTCTAAGGAAGATGTCTGGCTTTCACCAAAAAAACTTAGGACACATACAAAATAGTGAGAAAAAAACAACACTCTCACAAGGAGTCAAGCAGGCATCTAAACCAGTCTTAGCCATGTCACAAACCTTGGAAATTTATTAATCTTCATTAATATGTTAAAGGCTGTAATGGAAAAAGTAGACTGCATGCAAGACCAGATAGGTAATTTCAGCAGAGGGGTAAACACTTAAAAAAAATCAGATAAAAATAATAGAAATGGAAAACCTAATAGTGATGAAGATTGCTCTGAAGCAAATATTAGCAGACCCGAATAGCTGAAGAAAGAATTAGTAAAGTTGAAAACTCTGTAGAAATTACCCAAAATGAAACACAAATAGAAAATATGGGAACAAACAAACAAACAAAAACAGAGTGCCTATGATCTGTGAGACAACACCAGTCTAACATATGTATAATGAAAACTCAGAAGTGAGGGAATCTGTGGGGATCGCTCCCATGTGAGGCCCCTAGGAAATGGGCCTTGCCATACCGTGAGCTTGAGCCCAGACACAGATCCCTGGTTGGGGGAGTCAAGCTGAGGGAAAGCAGGAACCAAAAGACTATGTTATTCAAAATGTAAAGTAATGGATTACTTTACTTTATGGATATGAGGACTTTACTTTATGGATATGAGGACTTGGGAGGCAATGTGTCCACTTTCAGCTTCTTATGGTTTATTGCTTGATTGTGTTCGTTTTGGACCCTTTTTACCTTCATTGTAAAATATTAACTAAGTATTTATACTTGGTAACTTACCATAACTTACTGGGTGTAACTGTAACTTACCATAGCTTACAGGGCGTAACTGTAACTTACCATAGCTTACAGAGCGTAACTGTAACTTACTTACCATAGCTTACAGGGCGTAACTGTAACTTGCTTACAGTTGTTAAGTACTTACTGGGCGTAACTTACTTGCTGGGTGTAACTGACTTACTGGGCTTAACTTACTGGGCGTAACTAAGTGGGTGTAACTTGCTTACTGTAACTTAAGTACATTGATCTGGCATAAACAACTTTAACTTCAGAAAAGTATATAATGAAACAGATTGCAAAAATAAAATTGCTGCTTGGACATAGCCTAAGCCAGCCCTCCAGACTCCGCTTTTCTATTTTCTTTCACTTCTGTGCACACTCTCCCTCAGGTTGAACAAGACATCTACGTTGGCGGTCTCAGGGACTCCTGCAGGTTGGTAGTCCCCCAGCAGATGTGCCAGACCCCAACACAGAAGGAGAAGGGCGATGGTCGTGGTGGCTCACACTTGTAATCCTATCACTTTGGGAGGCTGAGGCGGATGGGTCATCTGTGGTCAGTAGTTGAAGACCACCCTGGCCAATACAGTGAAACCCCGTCTCTACTTAAAATACAACAAAATTAGCCAGGCACAGTAGCATGGCCCTGTAATCCCAGCTGCTTGGAAGGCTAAGGCAGAAGATTCGCTTGAACCTGTTGAGGCAGAGGTTGCAGTGAGCCAAGATTGTCCCAGTGCACTACAGCCTTGGCAACAGAGTGAGACTCCATCTCAAGAAGTAGAAGCAGGGAAGGAGAAGAAAGCAGGACAAGGAGGAGGACAAGGAGGAGAAGGCAGAAGAATCGCTTGAACCTGTTGAGGCAGAGGTTGCAGTGAGCCAAGATTGTCCCAGTGCACTATAGCCTGGGCAATAGAGTGAGACTCTGTCTCAAGAAGATGAAGAAGAAGAAGAAGGCGAAGGGGAAGGGGAAGAAGAAAGAGGGGAAGGGGGAGAGGGAGAAGGAAGAGGCCAAAGGAATATTTTAAAAACTAAATACCCTTTTTTTTTCAGCTTGGTCGAAAGGCTGTATCTCCTTACAAAACTTCCCTCCATGTAATTTGATTCATTTTTTTTTTCAGTGCTTTTCGCTCTGCATATTTTCTTGTCAAGTGATAAACAACATAAAAGCTAAAATACATCTCTAGTTTTGGTGTTAAATACACACCTCTCGCCATTCAGATCTTTTTACAGTGTTTGACAAGTAACAGTGATTTCTAAAGGAATTCAGTGGAATCCTAATCCTGGGAGATAACCTATTAGAAGAAAAAGTTATTCAGAACAATAAATTTGAAAAATTACAATGACAATCTTTGTATTAGATTGGACACAAATCAAATTATGAAATGTTCTAAAAAGCTTTGCAATAAGAAAAGGGCTTAATGTTTTTTAACCCAGCGTTTTCCAAGTAAGTTTGACTGTGCAATTCTTTCTTTGGAACATACTGCTTATGAAAATTGTGTAAAGCTGGTGTCAAAATGAATCAGTTTTAGGTGATTATAATCAAACCTTTGTTCTTTTCCAATTTTCCTATCCTTTTTTCAGGTTTATTTTGATCTATACAGACCTTCTATCAATCAGTA